CTGCAGATATCCATCACATGTGTTAAAATTGTCAAGCATCCTCGAGGCAGTTACACAGTGCTTACAACTGTCTCTGGACGTGAAAGCACCAGAAAATAAATTAAGTCATACGCAGCTGTCATCCGTACGCAAGGAAGTAAGCACAAGATGCGGAACACCCTTAGCAGGATGCAGCTCACCCTTCATGCGACTCGCCGAATACCTCACGGTGCTTCGCGCTTGGTGATGTGAGAGCCTGGTCCGGTGAGAACCCGGCGTGCTCCGTCCCGGCTTTGTAGGGATGCGAGGTCAATGGTCTAACGACTACGGCATGCACGACTATGAGTACACCCCCCCCCCCCCCCCCCCCCAAAAAAAGGATTTTTTTCTCTTATTGTTTCCTCCCAAGCTGCATCCCCCAACGTAACGACAGGAGTCGAGATCTTCTTGATTATTGGGAGCGAGCGAACGCAACAGCAACAGCAGCAACAGCAGCAGCAACAGCAACCACACTCAAAAACCACAGTACCTCCCGCCACCATCCGCAGTAGCAGCAGCAGCAGCAACAGCACTACCACCCGCCCAATGAGGCCACTCTTCTTTCACGCTACACCGCTCATGAGGCAGGCATGTACATATATATATACCAAGCGGCAATTTCCAAGGTCAAGCTAGCCCTGCATCTTTATTAATAGCAATGGTTTTCCGGCGCGCCGGGTGAACCTTCCTCACTATTGTGATCGCAACAGCCAACAGGTAGTGGATATCACACAACACACGCCAACCCTCCAAGCCCCGAGCCTCCCGCTGTCGCGTCGCAACGTCATTGGTCCACCATCGCACCGGGGCTCACCAAATCGCTGCTCTGGGGCGTGCTCATCATCGATTTCAGTAACACACACACGCACGCACACACACGGCCAGATCGTTCCCGTGGGGGCGGACGAAACGTTGCTTGTTGCGCCGCACTTCTTGTTGCACCGCAAATCCGGTCGGCCTCCCTCCTTCTCTGGCGTTCCAAGACAAGACAGGCATGCCCCCACCGTCCACATTCTCCCGACGAGAGGAAAAACACGCGAAAAACACTAACCGCAACAAAACTCATCAGCCTCAGGTGTCTATCGACAAACGTGCACAGAGACCCCCACCCTCTCTCGATTCTCGCAGCGGTAAGTGGTCGGCGGGAATGCCGCGGCGAGCGCCGCGCTCACCGCCGCCGCTACTGAACGCCGCACGAGGCAACCCCCACGTGTCTGCGCTGTCGTCTTCCCAAGCCGAAACAAGGCGGGGTTAGGCATCAGCCTCGCCGCCATCCGCGGCCGTCTCGGCAGGGGCGGCGGTGACGGCGGCAACACCAGCCGCAGCTGTGGCGCGAGTAGCCCGTGTCCCCGGGCGGCCGCCCGCCACCGGCGCGGAAGCGGTGGAAGCGGAACGGACGATGGCGGCGGAAGCGGGAGCCGGGGCGGGGACCACCACCGCCGGCGTTTCCTCGGCCCCGTTAGCATCAGCGGGAACCCCGTTAGCATCGGCGGGTACACCGTTAGCATTGGCGGAGCCCCCGTTAGCATCAGCGGTTACCCCGGTTTCATCAGCGGGGACCCCGGCGGCGTCAGCGGGAGCGGAAGCGTCGTCCGCGCCGTCGTCTTCGGCCACGGCCATCGGAACGGCTTCACTCGCTCCACTTCCTTCCTCTCCCGCCGCGTCGCCGCCCTCATCCACAACCCCGGTGGCGGCAGCACCAGCACCAGCACCAGCACCAGCACCAGCATCACCAGCTGGTCCACCACCATCACTGGCTGACCCGCCGCCATCACCGGCTGACCCACCGCCATTACCACCGGCAGAACCACCACCAGCACCCGCCTCCGCAAGCGAAGCTTCGCTGGCGCGCCTGTCCTCCGCCGACTTGACAGCGGCAGTCAACGCGTTGAGCATGGCCCGGTCGCCTCGGGTCTCGGGGTGCGGGATCGCGGCGGAGGGGTCGGCGGCGGGGACGCGAGAAGCGGCGGCAGTGGCGCGGCCGGCAGCTGCTCCGGCCTTCTTCGCCTTCTTCGCCGCTTCCCGGGCACGCTTGGCCTCCTGCGCTGCCTTCTGTTCTTTCTCCATGCGTACCTGGGCGGACAGGAGGAGTAGGACGAGGAGGAGACGGACGAGGGGGAGCGGGCGTGGGTTGTTAGGTTATGCATATATGCGAAACGCACCACTAATTTATCTCTCTAGGAGTGGCACGATTCGACAGGAGGAGGAGGGGGAGGAGGAGGAGGAGGAGGAGGAGATGGAGCAGGAGGGGGGGGAGGGAGCGGGTGCTGCTTGTTTTCTAACGAAAACACAACCGAATTCATCTCTCTAAGAGCGGCACGACTCGACAGGACAAGGAGGGGGAGGAGGAGCGGGCGTGGATTGTTATTTTTCCGACGAAACACACAACCAAGTTGACTAAATAATCTCTCCAAGAGCTTCTTGAAAGTCGCGGAATTAGGCGATTGGGTTTCCCCCACGCGGGAACACGAAGAGTGAACGCGAGAGGGCCATGGCGAAGACTTGGGCCGACAAGGAGGGCGGGGGGGGGTGACGTGTTGCCCCTCGAACCATTGTGTCAACGGACAAACTTCGAGACACGGGGCTACAACGACAAGGCAAAAGCAGCGGCAGCAGCAGCAGCAGCAAAAACAACAAACTAGACAACAGCAAGGTAGCAGCAGCAGCAAAGACAACACCGACACCAACACCAACACCAACGGCAACGACCCCCACCTTCTTCTCCGCCTGGTACTTTTCGATTACCACTTTCGCCTGCGATCGAAGGTCCTCGTCGGTCTTACACTGAAGTGTCGTAAGCCATCACCATCGTCACATGAAACGTCCACGAGGAACAGAAAGGCGTCGCAACAGAAGCAACAAAAGTGCTGAGGGTGAGACGAAAAAAACAAGGATCCGCGTGAAGACGCAAGGTAGGAAAGGAAATAACACCATGCAAACACACAAAAAAAAACATCATCGGGAAAACCACTTAAGTAGCAACATAAAGGTGTTCAGCGGACAAGTATGTAGTTGCTTGCAGCGTTGACGTTAACCTTATAAGTAAAACTTCTCATGCCGTAATGACAACACATGACACCAAACGGGCCGGATCAGCAACACCAGAGCAGGTGTCAAGCGTCCATACCTACATGTTGGACGTGTAAACGTCGAGGTACTGTAACGCTACTGCTTGTAGCTCTGTCCTCTGTCTCTCTCTTTCTTTCGGGTGTGGATAATTTGCAATTCTGCGGGTGGAAAAGCCATCAATTCATGGAGTATTCGAGATATCAGGGACGGGACTGCTCAACCCTTCTCGCACTACAACATCGAAGGCAAGCACGGCAGGGAGAAAGGTGGGACACCAGCAAAAAAAATGCACGTCATGTACATACAGTCGGCGGTCCTCAATAACGGTACCCTCAATAGCGGAATGCCCTCTATAGCGGCACCGAAATCGCTTGGCACAAATGCATCTCTCAGTACAATGCCTATTCAAGATAGCGGAACTGCCCTCTGTAGCGGCACCAACACCTCTTGAGGACCGCTGACTGTACATCTTTTCCTCCTGCGTGACCCTGCCTGATACGTCAAATATATCCCGAAGGGAAGGTGGACGAAAACAACAACAAACGTCTCGTGTACATACATACCTACAGTAAATCAAGTAAGAAAAGAACGAAAAGAACCAAAAGAACAAGAGCAACATACAATACATGGTATCTGTATACCGCAGCAGAGACAGAGCCAAGATCGCAAGAAGGCTGAAGCAAGGGTACTCGGGCCGGGGTAGACAAAGCCAGGCGACACCACGATATTGACACGCGGCAAGACAACGGGACCGCCTTCGCGAGAAAGTAAGTTAACGAGGAAATAGAACCGGGAGGACGGGGTACGCAGACCCTATTCCCTGACCCTAACCGTAACCCAACTTCCCCGATTGCATGCATGCTCCAACATGTTTTAATACTTGACAGACGAAAAGCCCTGGGACGGCTGCTGGATTAAGGTTGGCATGCTCATGCTCACCTTGGGCATGAGGGCGTACATGAGGCCCTGCGCCGCCTTGTGCTTGGCGTCCCGCTTGTTGGCACCGTCCCCTTCCGCCGAGAGGACGCCAATGGAAAGCTTGGGGCTGGCAAAAAATACGTGGCACAGCACACCCAGCGGCGGTAGCAGCAGCAGCAGCAGCAACGGCAAAAACATCAAATCAACGAGCAAGACGTGGCACAAAGCTGGGAGAGAAATTCAACAATCGGGATGCCGAACAGAGGTAAAGAGATCACAACTTTCACCGCTCCCAACAAGTAAACCCTACGTCAAAGAATAATCGCTTCCCCAGGTTAAAGAGGCTTGACAGAAAGCATCGGTCATCTGCTTGCTACGAAGCAGAAGGGGGGGCGTCAAAAACGGGGAACAACCTGCTGTGGCGATCAGTTTCTCGCCGAAAGAAAAGACACAAAAATCTCATGCTTCGGTATTTCCAGGGTCAATCAACAGAAGGCAACAAAAAACTTGCGTCGCTTCACAATAACGACAAGCTATTTCCAACCAATCCCCACGCACGCTGGCTGTCAGGTTGACGTCAGGGTTGTGCTTGCATTGTTGCCAACAGCGCGGCACGACACAAAAATGGACAGAGAAAGAGAGAGAGAGAGAAAGAGAGAGGTGCGGGTACACTCTTCAGGTTTCTTTCCTGACCCCGCCCTTCCATGTCACCGTTGCCCCCCCCGTACGGCATTCCATCGAGTGCACGGACCAGACGGTCTGTTCTTCTTGCCTCTTTAAAAATTCAAAACGAAGAAGGGATCAGATTCCAGGGCCACGGGCCAAAACGCACAAACATGAGCCCGGTCCAGCCGGTTTTTCTCCCCCTCACTGCACAGATTTTGGACACATCCCCTTCGACTGCTGTGGTCAAATCTCGAACGGGTAGATCTGGTATTTCTGTGATTATACGCATACCTTAAATATAGGTTGTCCTTGTTTATATGTTGAAAATGAATATCATCGCAGGAAGGCGAACGGTTTGAGATAAAAACCACGGTCACAAGTTTCTCAAAAACACTCAGATAGCACGGTGTTTCAAAAATAAATATTACCACAGGAAGACTATAACCGTTTGAGATAGCACAACAAGTCACAAGTTTCTTGAAAACACTCACATAGCACGGTGTTTCAGGAAGTCCTTGTGCGCCTCCCGCGCGGCCTCCTTCAGGGCCTCGTTCTCAGGGTCTTCACCCAGGGAGGCCTTCGCGGCGACCTCGATGGCGCTCTTCGCGGCCTCCACCTGGTTGAATGGCGGTTTCAGGATCACACCGCCCAATGTCAACGAAGGTGTTGTCGTTCAATGCGGCATGACTGACGTGTCAACTAAAGGTAGATAGGGTATTGCAACAAAAACACGAAAGAGACATCGTGGTGGTCTCCTTCTCGACTTGCATCTGGTCGAATGACGGTTTCAGGATCACGCCCAAGGCTTGTTGTCATTCAACACGGGATGACTGACGTGGACAGGCAAAGGTATGGAATGCTAATAGAAGCATCATGAGGCTTTCTTCTCGACCTCCACCTGGTTGAATGACTCTTTCAGGATCACGCCCAAGGCTTGTTGTCATTCCACGCGGGATGACTAACGTGGCCAACAAAGGGTATAGTGTGACAGCAGTTGAGACATCGTGATGGCTTTCTTCTCGACTTCCACCTGGTTGAATGACGGTTTCAGGATCACACCGCCCAAGGTCAACAAAGGTGTTGTCATTCAACGCGGGTGACTCACGTGTCCATCAAGAGGTAAGGTATGGCAATACAACGTCCATGTCTATTTTTGCAAAATCGATTCCCGTGGGTAATGCACGAATGTTGTACACCACGGCCATCCCCTATTCGCCGAATGTTTCCGTCACGGCCTAATATCTCCACACAGAGGAAGCAAATATCAAACGCACATACCAATCTCAACGGACTTTTTTCGCGCTGCTTGTCCGACGATTCAACCCGAAACGCGCCGTGCGGAGAGACAAGGCGTGAGATTTACTGGGTCGCGGCAACGCATGGGTCAGAAGCGAGAACGATTGAACAAGTACTCGTGCGCGTAGTCAAGGCAACACTGCTGTGGTAGCGAGGGAGTTAAGACACCTGCGACAGCAACGGTCATCTCCGCAGGGAAAGATCAACCGGCAACCAACAACACGGAAGCCGGCTACACGTATACATGACGACAATATTCCCATCTAGCTCCCCCTCCCCACCTCTTTCCGCTTGGCGGTCTCCACGGGGTCGACGACGTGGCGAAGCAGTCTCGCGAAACAGCGGAACCCCTTTCCTGTGAGCTTGGACTTCTGCTGGCTGGCGTTGTCCTTGAGGGCCCGGAACATGTACGACGCGTAGTTGGGTGTTTCCGGGTGCGCGGCGACCAGATCGTGAAGGAGTTGCGCATAGTTCTGGAGGCCTGCAGGTGGAACGGGGTGGGGGGCGGGGGGCGGGGGGAGCGTACTCTTACGTATTGGCATGCCTTAGCGGTTAGACCATTGACCACGTGTCCTCGAGAGGACGGAGCATTGTTCCCACAGGACCGATCACTGATGGCCAATCGTGGGGGGTGGGGGGTGGGGGTTGCAGGGGTGCTCATGGACGTGCATGCATGCTGTGGAGCAAATCGGCCATGGACTCCCCATCTCTCCCCATTTTCGCCGACCGGGGTTGGTTACGCACAAGGTTCAAGCGCTGCGGCATTATGACTACAAACCCCTGCGCGAGGGCGCGGGGGGGGGGGGTTACCAGCAGCGAAACCTTAACAAGTAACCGTACATTCGACCGTTGACAGCGCAGCGCTCCCTCCACAGGTACATGGGAACCACTGCTACTAGCAACCTTTTCGCTCCTCATTGCTCCTATTGCGCTCTTCGGGGAAGGACAGGCCGTATACCGACACAACGAAACAGGGGCCAACCACACACACGGGGGGGCAAAAACCTCGAAACCCTCGGCTCTCACCGTCGCCGAGCGCATGCTTGGCCACAGGGTCATCGTCGTTGTCAGTTCCCGTTGCGCTTCCTTCAGTCCCCTTGCCGGAGCCACCACCACCATCGCTGGCGCCGCCGCCGCCCCTGCTGCCTTTGGCGCCGCCTTTGGCGCCGCCACCGGCGCCAGCGCCGGTGGCGGGCTTTCCCTGGCTTATCGCCGCCGCAATCGCCGCGCTGCCGGCGAGGCTTCCGCCCGTCGTTTCGGCGATGAGAGACTCTAGGTCGAGCTGCTCGCGAGTGCCGACGGCCTCCCGGAGGAAGTTGATGGAGGCCAGCTGCTTGGCGAGCTTGGTGTTCTTGGCCTAGGGGGCAAGCGTTGTCACGGGCGATGTTTAGCCACCGGAATCGCATGGTGGCGGCGGGAGATACCCGGCGTCGGAAGAAGAATTCTCGGGTCATTCGAACCCCACTACTTACCCTACGAGCCAGAAGTGGACCAAGACACGTCCCGGCCACATGCATCCCAGAGAACATCTACATACGTAGGGAAAACCAATGCCACGCCACATGCGGTGCGTTTATCGCGCACAACGCCCCAACATGCCACAACTTGAGCCCACGGATGGATGGTTCCTCTCTTGGTAACCGCACGGGCTCAATTTTGAGGGCAACAGGACACACGTACAGAAGCCCACAACCGTTACGTTCCAACCCTTCCGCGACAGACTCAAGCCCTCATCAGTATTTTTTTGCTTGGGAGGAGATATGGAGCTTCAACACCCGTCCCGGCAGGGAGTGTTGTTGGGCGTACGGGCATACACATGCGGCACAATAGCACATGCGGCACAATAGCACATGCAGCACAATAGCACCATTTGACCATTTGTTGTTCTCACCGTCGCGGGGGAATAAGCCACTCCATTGACGGACACGTTGAGCGTGAAGGGCTGGTGGCCGCCCAAAGACGGAAAGGAAGGTCGTTCGTCCGCACACAGCACGCGATAACAGTAGTCGTCGCAGAAGCAGTTGTCGTTACAGGGGAAAGGCAAGGGGGGAGGGGGGGCGTGAGCACAAGAAGAGAGTTTGGTTTTGCTACACTCCCGTCCAATATCGTCTCACTCACGATGGCGGGGGGTCCCCCGCAAGGACGACGTGACGACACCTTTGTTACACACCAGAGGGATCAGTCGCATCCGTGGGGGTTTGATTGTGGCGTGATACCATAGCTCAGTCTAAAACTCTCCGTAACGGTTGCGTTTGCCAACGTCCTCCACGCAACTTTCTCATCAACTTCACAGAGTTGTTTCGTTTATCTTGCTATTTTCCATCATATTGCCAAGACGTCTCATTCTCATTCTACCCGAAACATTTACTGTAAACTTGACCATCGTTCTCATTCTCACCGAGATGTTCTTGGCGGCGTCCTTGTTCTTGTTCTCGAAGCTGGGGCGAGACTTGGGCTCCATCGCCGCGCACATCTCGAAGGCGGCCGATACAGCCGACTTTTGTTTCAGCTGCTCGTTGTCGTCGCGGAAGTTGTTGTGGGAGGTAGCCGTTGTTGTTGTTGTTGTTGTTGTTGTTGTTCGTGGGGGTCATGGTGGTATTGTTGGCGGCGGCGGCGGCGGCGGTGATAAGAATTGGGGGGCGACACGATGCATACGCACCGATCGGAGGAGGGGGTGGGGTGAGGCGGACCGGACAAAAACAATAGGATAGAAGGCTAGGAGGAACCGCAAGAGGATGAGACAGCAGCACGAAAGGGCGCAGCTGGTGCTCAGAGGGCAGCAATAATAGTAGAACTGGGGGTTCTTCCAGAGTAACAACAAATCCGAGCCCGTCTTTTCCCAACCACGGTAAACACATGAATCAACACGCCCGGCCAAACAATAGGACTTGAAAGTCGGCGACAATGTGCCGAGCAATAGTACTTGTAGTCACAGGGCATTGTGCAAACCACAGCAACGCTGAAAACATGCTAGCGCTGGTTGTGGTGACATCGAAAAGACACTTCGATGGAGCCCCTTTGCCAAAAACTTTGATCCATATCTGTTAAATTAAAAAACACTTGCCAAGACGAGCGCCTTCCAAGGCCAGCGCTGAATGTTCTTCGCCTTGGAAGCGCTTTCCAATCAAAACAAGCCAAGAGGAGTAGGCAACACAGCAGCATAACAAGGCGATGGCATCACAAACAGAAACAAGCAAGTCGCCGGAATAAAGCTGGCAACACGGCAGGTGATGACACCACCAACACAACAAAACAAAGCTCCATTCACAAGACTACATCATCATCATCCACCTTGAAGGACTTCATGTTGAGCACAGCGCCGCCGGGGTACATTCGCGCGTGGGCCAGCTCGTCCAACACCATCTTCCCGCTCCCAGGCGGGAACTCCTTCATCGGTTTGGGCGGCTCCACCACGGGGGCGGGCGGAGGGGGCACGGAGCGCGCACCCTCCCCCCCCTTCTTGCCCGGGGCGGCGGCGACGGCCCCGGCCGCGGCGCGCTTGGCCGGGTTCAGCTCGATGGGGTCGACGTTGCCCGCTGTGTCGTGTTATTTTTTATGCGGCAGAAGATCAAAGCGAGGGGTGGGGGTGGGAGGGGGGGTGTACTCATAGTCGTGCATGCCGTAGTCGTTAGACCATTGACCTCGCATCCCTGCAAAGCCGGGACGGAGCACGCCGGGTTCGCACCGGACCAGGCTCTCACATCACCAGGGGGGGGGGGGGGTGTACATCATAGTCGTGCATGCCCGTGAGTCGTTTGACCATTGACCTCGCATCCCTACAAAGCCGGGACGGAGCACACCGGGTTCTCACCGGACCAGGCTCTCACATCACCAAGCGCGAAGCGCCGTGAGGTATTTGGCGAGTCGCATGAAGGGTGAGCTGCATCCTGCTAAGGGTGTTCGGCATCTTGTGCTTACTTCCTTGCGTACGGATGACAGCTACGTATGACTTAATTTATTTTCTGGTGCTTTTACTTCCAGAGACAGTTGTAAGCACTGTGTAACTGCCTCGAGGAAGCTTGACCATTTTAACACAACGTGGTGCGATCATCCCCCGTTGCGCGGAGTGAGGTTTCTCCACCCCGCACAACATGATCTACTCGACCACCATTATGGTTACCGCCAAAAAAAAAACCGAGGTAAAAAAAAAAAAACGGTAACCTGGTTGCCGAGTTCACGAAGTGAATTGGCTTGTTTTACAACGTCGTTGCCAAGCGACGAAAACCCAATCCCGATGGCAAACACCGAGGGGGGGGCTTGTTTTACAACGTCGTTGCCAAGCGACGAAAACCCAACCCCGATGGCAAGCACCGGGGGGAGGAACCTGGTGGGGGGGGGGTACTCATGTAACGGCATGCCGCAGTCGTGAGGCATTGACTTCACATGCCGGGACGGAGCGATATCGCCGGCCCAAGCTACGTTTCACAAGGACGGACCAGAAACTAGTCCAACGGGGGGTGGGTGTTCGGGAGATTGTCGGAGTTTGATCCAAGTGTGATGCCGAATCATGGAAAGCGACCTCTCGTGACCCTGAATATAGTGTTACCGCTTCCTGGCTTGGCTCGCGTACGGCCGTAGACTAGAGCGTTTACGAAGGGCGACGGACACACAGGAGCAACAAGAACAAAGACGACCGCAAAAAGGAAGGCAATTAATCCACGGGCTGACGTCGCCAGACATATCACCACCACCACCACCACCACCACCACCACCACCACCACCAACAACAACAACAGCGCCGGCACCGGCACCAGACACAACACCAGCAACTCCTTACCGCTGTGCATGAGGTTGGTCCAGTGGCCCACCCCGGCAGCCCTGTCCACGTTCGACACGGCCACCGGCCGTCTGGGGGGCCCCGCGGCCGCTGCCGGCGGCGGGGCGTAGACGCCCCTACTGGCATGCCCGTTCTTCGACTTCTTCTTGACCCTCTTCATGTTGTTGGGGTTCGGGCTAGCGCTGGACTCGGAGCTGGACTGGGTTGTGGCGGGGTGGCGGCTGTTGGCGTACGGCACTCCGTCCGCGGCGTCGGAGGCCGAGGCGACGCTGCCGCTCCTGCTGCCCCTGGCGGAGCCAACGACGCTGCCCCGGGCGGAGCCAACGACGCTGCCGCTTGATGGAGCCGGCATGCCTGTGTGTCAAGCGAGTGTGTACATGCAGTACGATAAGATAAGGCGTTATTTACGGTTGTGGGGGCAGCGTGAATAGATGGACAGCGTGAGAGAGAAACAACTCTGCCGGGGGGGGGTCGTTAGTCAGGACAAAGCTCAAAACCTGGTGAAAACCTGCGATTACGATTGGTCAGAGAGAGGAAAACGACGCCTAGGTGTTCGGGCCTTGCGCGCCAGGAGGAAGGGTTATTTTATGTAGAAACCAAACGTGCTGTCATATATCTACCGTCGAAACGACCAGCACGGCGCGTTCAACCGGGGGGCTTGCAGCGGCCATCGGCCAACTCCCTCTCCGCGGTTCGTGGAAAAGGCGGGGGGTGGCGGGGGCGTGTACTCATGTTGTCTTAATTGTGAAGACCATAAATTGCCCTGCTCATGCAGGGCTGCCTCCAATCCGAGGCCCGCCCTCCTTTGATCATTTGAAGATTTGAAGGGATTGGAACTTGGTTACTCATGCTTTAATTGTGTAGACCAGTGAGCCACGCAGTCTCTGCAGTAGCGGACGGAGCGGTTGTTCCCTCAGAGGACCGATCAATCACCCATGGCGAACGGGGGGGGGGGGGGCTTAAACCCGGCGGCGGGCCTAAAATCGTTTCGTGGCAAAAAAAAACAAGAAGGTTGAGAAATATGCAAAAAAAAAAAAAACGGACCCGGAAGGGGGGTGCCCATCCCGGCGAGGCGGTCAAGCAGGCCCTTGTGCTCCGCGAGGGGGTCCTGCAGATCCACCTCCCCCCACTCGAACTCGGCCCCGCTGTGCGACACCTTCCTTGCCGAGGACCGCGGGAGCAGGCGTCGCCGCTGCCGGCGGCCTGCGAAGGCGTACACCTCGTCGCCCGATTCCTCTCCTCCCTCGGAGTCCATGTCCCACGGGGAGTACTCCTCCTCCTCGTCGTCCCCGTCTTCGGCCGCCGAGCCGGCGGCGGCGGCCGCGTGGTTGTTGCGGTACTCGGCCGCTAGCGCTACGGCCTCCATGATCTCGGCCGCGCGCCTCGCGGCCCTGCCCCTGGGGCCGCCGGCCGGCACCACGGCCACCGGATTCGGGAGCCCGAGGCCGCCGCCGCTTCTGCCGTCGACGGCCTTGGCGGCGAAGAAGTTGTTGTACTCCTGTACGTCGAAGCTGCTCTCGGAGCTGCTGCTGCTGCTGCTGCTGCTGCTGCTGCTGCTGCAGTCCGAAGAGGACACGTCGTAGCGACCCGCCGCCGCCGCCGCCGCCAGGTCTACTTCTAGCGACCGGCCGCTATCGCCGGCGGCGACGGTGCTCGAGAACGGCTCATCGTCGCCGGAAGAGGAGACGTCGTAACGGCCGAGGGGTAACGAGCCCGTCGGCGACGGCGTCGGACAAGCGTCCCGGGAGCCGTCGAACCCGCCAATTCCTTCGCCGCCGCCACCGCCGCCGATGCCGCTGTCGTCCTCCTCCTCCTCTTCCTCCGAGGAGGACACGTCATACCGGCCGATGACCGGGGACTCTCCTCGCGGAGCTTCTTCGTCTGCCCAATCACGCGCGCTGCTGACACCGCCGCCGGCACGAGACTTGTCGGTGACGGTCGCCTCGAAGACCCCGGCGCCGCTCCCGGTGTCGTCGGAAGATGACACGTCGTACCGGGCCGGGGTAGAAGAAGAACCATCTTCTTCTTCTTCTTCTTCGTCCTCGTCCATCGGCGACGCTCCCGAGTAAACTGGGGCCTGACCCCCCACGTAACCAGCGTCGCTGCCGTCGCCGTTTTCATCTGAGGACGACACGTCGTAGCGCGCTCGCGGCGACCCCTCCCCCTGCCACGGCTGCTGCCCCTGCTGCTGCAGAAGCGGTGCCGGTTGAAGCGGCTGCTGGGCACCTAGCTGGAGGGGCACTTGTCCGGTCACCTCCGGTTGAGGCCCAGCACCATCGCCGTCTTCTCCCTCGGACGAGGACACGTCATACCGCGCTCTGGGGGACCCATCCGCTCCCCGCTGCAGCCGCGGGTCCACTCCCTCCTCCCCCTCCAAGAAGCTCGTTCCCGAACCCCCGGCAGCAGCAGCAGCAACAGCGGCGTCGTCACCACGACCCGGTCCCTCTTCCATGCGCTTGAACTCTTCGGACATGGCGCGGAGCGCGTTCTCCGCTTCCCGCTGAGCCTTGGCGGTGGCTTGCTGCAGCTCTCGCGCCTTGGCCTTGGCCTTCGCGGCGGCGACCGCCAGGTACTCCGCTCTCGTCGGGGCGGGCTGTTGTTGAGCGGGCATGGGTGACGGTGCCGCGGGCACCACGATGGGGGTCCTGGGTGGCAGAGCCGCCGCCGCCGCCGCCGCCCCCGCCACCTCGTCCTCAACCGCCTTGGTTCGCAACAGCGGCTTCTTTTCCATCTTGACATTGTCGGCGGCAGCGGCGGCGGCGGGAGCGGCAGCCGCTGGAGCGCTAGCCGGAGGAGGAGCGGCAGCACCAGCAGCCGTACGGGCGACAGACTTCTTCTTCTTCTTCTTCTTGCTTTTCTTCTTGAGCACGCCGCCGGACGCAGAAGCAGCAGCGTATGGCTCGTGCTCCGCAGCAGCGTCTTGGGTTTCCGGCGTGCTGAGCCGTGTCGCCGGCCTCGAAGATTGTACGGCAACGGCGGCGGCGGCGGCGGCGGCGGGCGGCGAGGGAGCGGGGACTCGCTGCTTCGGCGCCTTGGACCGCGACGACCGCTCAGTCGACGACGAAGCGGCCGGTTTCGCTGAGCTCTTGCCCGCTACCTCCTCCCTGGTTGTTGATACCCTGGCCCCCTGCGCCGCCGCGGTCGCGGCGGCGAAGATGGCCGACGCCGAGGTGAACCGGCTGCCCTTCCTCTCCGCCATCTTGAGCGCGAGCGTGACCCGAGCTAGGTTTGCCTGCTGCTCGGCGCTGCCCATGTGGCGGATCGAACTCTGCGACCGCCTGGCAGAAGGCAACGAAGTCGAGGTCGGGGTACGGGCTGCCCTTTCGGACGTCAGATCTGGCTGCTGGTGTGGGGTGCGACTGCCGCGCTCTTTCGACTCCCTCGCGAAACCCGCGGCGTTCAAGTCCGAGTTGGGGATAATCCTGTGTTGGGGGTACGGCTGCTGCTGCTGCTGCTGCTGGTGGTATTGTTGTGCGGCGGCCGCCGCCACCATGAGCCTATGCTCGTACTCGTATCCGCGCGTCGTCTCGGTGACTGGCGGGGCATCGGGAGGGACCTCGCCCTCCTCCGACAAGGTGAAGGGTGGCAGCGATGGCCGTGGTAACGACGAAGAGAGTCGAAGCTTGGCGGGTCGTGGGACGCGGACGTTGCTGCGGTGGTCGGGGTTTGAAACTGCTGCCGCTGCTGCTGCTACTGCTGCTGCTGCTGCTGCTGCTACCGGAGGGGAGGGGGGGAGGGGAAGCGGAATGCTCTCGGCGGTTTCGGGTTGAGGCAAGCGCGGTGTTTCTCGTGACGGCCTCGATCGCTGCCTAGAGCTAGAGGGTTCGGCGACAGACGACAGCTGCTCACCTTGGCCTACTCTCCCCCCGTCCGCCTCACGCCGCGACGCCTTGGCTCCTCCCTTGCTGGTCGCCTTCCCCTTCCCCCTCCCCTTCAGCTCCAACTCCTCTCCCCGCTCGCGCTTCTTGTCTCCTCGTGCTCCTCCCACCACTGCGGCCCCTCCTGCTCCCCAACCTCCCAGCGACCCTACCCCGCTACCGATGCTGCGGCCACTAGCTCCGCTCCCCCGGCCCGCTCCGCCCCCGTGGCCTCTCCCGCCCCAGCCGCCCCTCCCGCCCTGCTGAGGGCTACCCCGGTAGTAGTGCTCAGGCTGGTATCGGGGCTGTTGCGGATCCTGCTGGAAGTGCGGTTGCTGCGGCTGCCATGGGTGCACCGGCAGCTGAACCCGCGACGGGGCTTGCATCGAGTAGACGACCGCTGGCTGCAGGCCTCCCCCTCCTCCTGCCTGGCCTGCTGCCGCCCAAGCCTGCGGGTGGATGGCCCCGGGCGGCGCCGTGGCGATCGTCACCATCTGAGGTTGTTGCTGTGGTTGCGTAACGTTTGCGCCCTGTTGTTGGTGCGTGGGCGCGGGCGCCATGCCACTGCTGATGTACACCTGCTGAGAGCCTTGCTGCTGCTGCTGCTGCTGCTGCTGCTGCGGCTGCTGCGGCTGTTGGTAGCCAACCCCCACAAAGCCACCGGGTTGCTGTTGTCTCGTCGGAGACACTTGCTGCAAGATCATGCCTCCTTGTTGCGGCACTCCTCCGACTTGTTGCAGGTAGTGCTGGGGGGCATTTGGGGCGCGCCCGGATTGGTCGGCCCCGCCGCCGCCGCCGCTGTTCCAGCTCATTGTTCCCTCCGAAAACCTCCTTCGTAGATGGAGGCGCGTGAGAGGGTATAGCGTCAGCCCTCAAGCTTGCTCTTCTTAGCCGGGGTCGTGCGATATAGAATGATCGAACGAGCCTGTGTGTGTGAGCGGGTGACGGAGAGCTGGTAAGCGAGGAAGCGAGCTCACAGCGAAGAAAAGCGAAAAGCCTCCTCCGATAAAAATGCGGCGTGACCTCAGCGCGCGCGCCGCGCGTCGCGCGTCCCGCGTTCCCCCTACAGAACAGCCAAACACAGCAGCAGTACAGCAGGGCAGAGCGGACTCACGTCTCCCTACAGAGAGCGCGTGATCACCGCCGCCGGTGGCTTACAAGGGCGTCTTCTTTTGGCCGTGGCCTGGAATATGTACAACAATGCATCATGACCAGCAGCCGCAGGGCCCTCTCACAGCACATCTCGTCTCGCGCCTCGAGAGCACAGAGGCCCTGCTCGCCGAGGAGAGAGCTTCCAACCAAGCCCTGAGCGACGAGCTTCTGAGGCTACGCGCCGGCGGCGCAACAGCAGCTGGCGGTGGAGGATCTTCCGATGGCTACGACAAAGACTATGACAGCCCACGTCCACGGCCCAACAGCAGCGCAGGAACCCCAGTAGAGGGTGGTACTGAGAGGGCGAGGAGACAGGGCCGGGCCGAGGAGGAGAGGCCGCGCCCGCCGTGGCAGAACGTCCTGTACAAGCGGCAGCCGTACGCAGACAACCACGTGCCGGGTTCTTTCTTGGAGAAGCTCGTCACCAACGGTGGGTGTTGTACGAGCGTGTAGTCCGAACACTGCTCACGTTGGTGTTGGCAGCCATGTGTAGATAGACACAGATTTTGCCGTGGTGTCCAGTTGAACATGACTGCAGAAGGTGTACAGCAGTCACAGGGGTACGCAACAAAAGGCACGGTTGTCTTTCTGTGAGGTTATGTTTACTTTCTGAAAAGGCAGCGAACCCACGACCTCACACCGCGGTCCCGAGCCTGCCATTCTTGCTTTCTGTACGTAGATACATACACACCGCATATCATTTGCGTTGTTGTTTTGAGGCATTTTTTATCATGTCACGCGGCTGTTGTCTGCATTCTCTGAGAACATAGAGGACAGCACATGCCGACCCTCGTAGAAGCAGCTTGTCCCCACAACCCACAACATGTATTTGCTTCGCTCAGCAGTATTTCGTCGTCGAAATCTTTCACACGACTCTTGGCGGCTTGAAGGTAGCGTAGGCAGCCGCGTGCCCCCCTCTTCCATGATCATTCAGCGCGTCTCTCCCTCCCCCACCCCGTCCCCATCTCCTCCCCCACCTCCCCCTGCCAGCCTACGTACGACAGCCGGACTTGCGGCTTTACGTGATAAACACCTTCGCCGTCACGCAGCAGATCTCGGCGGTGACGCTCTTCCTCGTCGTGTTCATGCGCACGCAAGACGGCCTCATCTCTGTGGGGACCATGGTATGTTCCACGCCGCCCACACCGTAACCGCGTCTAGCCTACTCTCTGTGTTTCCCCAGAATGTTTCCTCGCTGTTGTTGCTGAGGTTGTCAACACCTGCGGGAAACCCCTCCAAAATCACCCGTAGTCTGTTTTCTCGTGTTCGAGACCTGCCCTCGTTTCCGTGACCGTGAGAGGGCACTCACCAGGTTGACCGATGTATGCAAGTCTCGGTATTTTATTGCAGGGGGGGGGAAGGGGGCGCACCTCGATCGAGGGTTTATCGAACTGATTTTCGCGGGCTGGTGGAGCTTGTTCGCGGTACCATAGTGCCCAACTATTACTTCATGTCTCGCGTCCTTTTTTTGGCGTTTGGCTGACAATGATTCATATCTCGTGGGTCCTTGGGGTTAGGGTCATGGGTTAGGTGGTCACGGTCTTTTAGGCAGCAGTTTGCACCCTATCGCATGACGTGATGATGCCCATTGCACTGGTGAGGTCAATGGTTGTGTATTGATGCAGCAAGCTTTTCGGTTAAGTGGTCATATGGGCGGTAACACGACAGTTGGCCGTGTGGTGTGATGATGCCTTTTGCGCTGGTGGCGTCAATATTTATGCGTTGGTGTGGGACGGATGGGCCAAGGGATAAATGACAGCCGACACCATACGTCTTTCCCTTCGAACTACGTTCAACATTCAACCATTTTTTGTGTGCCAACCACGAGAGATCAATGTTTGTGGCACAACAACCGACAAGAAAACTTATTAGTACGTATGCGCTTATGTCGATCCCTTTAGGCTTGTGTAGTCTAATTTTATTTATTTTTTACGTACTCGCGGCGCCTCTGGGGCTTCAACACAGGGACACATTGACCCGTCTCCACGCACAAATCTGCAGGAAGCCTGCACGTATTTTTTGTTGCGAACAGAGATACCACCGCCTCCGCGCCACTGCCACCACGAACAACATCTATAGCAACAACCACAACGACAGCGACCACGTTGTTGTGTTCTTGTTCGACGGTTGAAGGTGATGGTCGATCTCTTGCTGCTCTTTGGCGGTTACGCGACGGTTTTCCTCGTGTCTCCGAAACGGAACAACGCCGGCATCAGTGGCGTCAATGGTGCTGCCCCCGGTTCTTTGGCGCGGTTGAAGGGTCGGATCAAACACGAGGTGGGAAGTTGCCTGTCCTGAATGTTTCACACACGTGCGCGTGTTTGGTTTCGGGTCGTTTCGGGTAGCATGGTCGACAGTGGCCCGTTCGGAGCGTTTTTTTGCCTGTTGTACCATTTTCAGGGTTTGTTGATGCTGCCGTTTTTGCTGCTGTTGCTGCTAGTGCTTTCGTATCTTGTTGTTGTTGGCTAATGGTAGCCGCAAACAACTGTAGATGGACTCGGGGCTCTGTCTTCCAGCACACGTCTTTTAGCGAGGTTCATGTCATGAGGCAGCTAACACCAACTGTACAACACTAACACCAACTGTAAACAACACTAACACCAACTGTACAACACTAACACCAACTGTACAACATCCAGCCCTTGGTTACAAGGGTTTGCAGTGTTGATGATGCGTGACCCGCCAGGCGTTTTTATCACGCTTGTCTCCTAATTCCCCGGTTCCCGACTGGGCGGAAGACTAGGCATTGAAGTTCTTCCCTTGCACACCATGCGGTGACCGCCGTTTCCCCAGCGCGGGACTGTTAGACTTCGATCCTCAGCTTGAAGACGAAACGCTTCGTCCACATGAACGGTAGCAAGTTCTACTGCGCGTGCCTCCGTCACCAGCGGAGCGGTAGCAGTAGTTCCCCCGGAGAGACTGTCCAACGTATTAATACTCGTTTTTTCACTAGAAGATTCGTTTTGAGCCCGGTCCAGTAGACCTGGTCTTGCGTGCTCTTCTTTTCCAGGGCAAACGATTGGCTCCAGCAGCGAAATGACATTAGAGCCCCGGCACGAAGTACCTGAAAAGTGCGACCGCAACGCGTGCAATTGGTTCATAGGTGCAGGGAAGCGCTAAAGAGCACGGCCGTGGCGCGTTGTCAATGGTTCCCTTGGGAGATCCGTGAGATATTTTTGCGACTCGAAGCTGAAACACAATCGTGACCTCTTTACGGCAGCTAGCGAGTCTGACGCATGCATGCCACGAAGTACATGACGCATCTAATCAGTCACTTGCTGGTGTATTTCGGATGATAATACCAAGGGCGATGATCCCTACGGCCGCGGCGGCGGCAGCGGTGGTAGCGGCGGCGGGGGTGTTCCACTCGGCAACGACGAAGGCGCTTCGCCCCGGACGGCGGCCGGCCTCGCCGACGGGAATGGCTTGGACGACCTTTCGCTGTCCTCCGTGTCTTCCACCTTGGCTTCGTTCTTCCTGTTCCTCGCGATCCTGAGGTGCGGTGTGACGGGCTGTGTGCGTTTACCTCCTTGTGAAGCTCGTGCTCGTCACTATGCGCACCTTTTGTACGTTTTTTTTATCCTCACACGAAAGTAGTTGACCGATTGTAATGACACAGGCTTCCCTGGTTGTGGGGAGGCCCAGGTCGCAGTAGTCTTTACGCACTACTTGTACTAAGGGCTGGCAGTTTTCTTCGTTGAGATTTAGAGAGGAGAAGGTCTCGGAAGAGAGAGAAGAAAGAGAGTGCCGCCGGAGGGGCGAGGGAGACCAAGACCGAGGATCTCGGATTGCCCAGCTCCTCAGGTGGCGCCAAGAGGGACGTATCCATAGTCGGGTTTCTTGCTGATCAACAATCAGTAAGATCCTCCGTTCGGATCGTATCTTGGGTCCTACTTTTGTATGTGCAACAATGGTTACAGCACTTCTACACCTGTCATCCACAATTGCCGCTTTATTTTATTTTTTGTTGAAGACCACGTGATTCCGGTAGCAGAGGAATTGACGCTCGATCCGATCCGTTCCAATCCAAAACGATTAGGATCATGGCACCGGTGCTGCGAACACTGACGGTTTCGTACTCGGACGACACGATCTACGCCCTGGCGGTCACTCTCAGCTTTCTACACCTGGCGTTCCACGACTACTCTTACGCTAACACGTCCAGTTCGGGACATTTTCAGGCAAGGGCGTGGCAGAGGAGGATGAAATGATGCTGAAATGTTGGAGTTAGAAAATATAAAAGATGAACGTGGAATACTCGGTGAGCACGAACCGAGCGTTCCGAGAGCGCGAAGGGTCCAACCTATACCCAAAGTGGCACCCCGAAAGCTTACTCGGAAAGACAGTGTCCGAGGACGAAGGCGACGCGCGTGAGAAATGGCGTAGCTGTTGCACAAGAGACCATAGAAAATAGAAACGTTGTACGTTACACTCGGGATGCTCTCAATCGAGCAATAATACAGTTGAATATGTACGGGTATCAAAACCGTTGTAATTGCCGTTTGTCGCATGACGATGTCGAAGTTTGCCACACTTTGTTGTGCTTTGGTGCAGCACTTCATGATTGGTCTTGCAACCAAAAACAACAGAGAAGTTCCAATGTCACCCGGCGTGCTTCTTGTGGGTGAATGGCCACAAAACGCGTTTTTAGTCTTCAGTCACACATTTGAACAAGGCGGTCTACTCAACTGAAGACGTTTTGACGATTACCCCGTGTGGCGGCATGCACCCTTCCCCCCCAACAAGAAGTCGAAGCGAAACGACATTGAAATGACTGCCCCCCATTCTCCCTGTTCCCCCCGGTCCCGTTCAACCATGTCGAACGAACCCAGGGCACGTTGAGCTTGAACGCGGCTATTTTTGCGGCGGTGCTTCTGGCCTCCCGGCTGGAGAGCAACGAAAAGGTGTTCGGCCTGGTGCTGTTCGCTCTCGAACTGTTCGCGTTCTTCCCTCTAGCGAGGTACGACACGACACCAGTGGTTTTCCCTGTAGAAGGTCCGCATAAATGTGGCCGGCCGCCCTGTATTAGGCCGGTGAAATCGCGTGACACAGATGGCATTCTATCAAGTTGTCTCTGCTGCTGATTAGTTAGTGGCGGTACAGGGGCGGCCAAAGCCCTTGGCGCTAAATTGCCGGCCTCAAACAGGGATCGCGCTGTGTACTACGGGCGAGAAGTGCATGGCGAGATGGTGGTGTGTGTGCGTTGTGTCTCATCTCAACCCGATCTCCCATCTGTCTCTACCTCATCTTCGGTTTGTACCTACCCCATCTTCCTCGCCGTCCTTGACTCATCTCCGCCCCTTCTCTGCCCCGTCTCCACCCTACCTTTGCGCCATGTCCGCTCAATCTCCGTCGTTCCGCTGTTGCGGTCGGGCGACGGCCGCCCCTTTTTTTTGTTGTGCGCACGCAGGCGAGAAGTGAAACGGCATAGCCTGCTCCTGCATGCGTCGGTCACATCCGCCATGGTGCTGCCCACGGGCCTCCTGCTTTACCTGCGGCACCCCACCCTCTTCACGGCCTACCTGGGTACCGTCGTCCTTGTCACGGTCGCGTGCCCCCTCTGGTTGCTGAGGGTGCAGCGGTACAAGCTGAGAATAGAGGGGCCGTGGGACATTGCGCACGTCGAGGCGCATCCGTGAGAGGGGGGGGGGGTTAGGGTAGCGATGTGTGGGTGTATTTATTTAGTTAGCTCGACCGCCGTTACCGGCTGGCCGATGACATCATGTCAGTCTTGTGGCGAGACGAAACACGTTTTTGTGTGCGTGAGAGATGCACGCAGATTGATGCAGAGTCAGGGACTGCAACCTCTGCGAGTTCTTTTCCATGTTTCGGACAGGAGTTCTTTTTAAGTCAAAGGCAAGGCCGTAGGGTGAGCAGGCAGGCGAAGGGTGGTGCACGGGGTTTCGAAAACAGTGGTGCAGAGTTCTCTGGTGCTTGCACTCGGATTCTGCTTCGATGCCATTTCATTCTCGAACGAGATACAATCCGTTTGTTGGTTACTCGTCCCAGCGTTGGTTATTCCTGGCGGTAGGGTATCATCGAACGTGCGATATTCCGGAAAAATAAGAGAAGAATGTTCTCCGAGAATGGTACGCAAGTAGCAAACGGTCGTGTGTTCGCACCTGGGCTCGTGTGCACATCTCCGCGTTCACGTTCTGCTGTGCACGGATGTCCCACCAAGTTGTGTAGTCCGGTAGTCCTTCAAGGCTCGGTCGTTCTCGTTCTCGCGAACGCTAATGACCCTAGGCATTCGGTTGAAAGTTGATTTAGTCGGTGGATCGGATAACGACCCCCCAGTCTTTCGTCCGCTTGTGTGATTGGGTTGCAAAGGTCTTGCGGTTAGGGTTTGGGTTGGGTAAGGGTTCTCCGAAGGAGCCCCCTGGAGGAGTTCTGGGTGGCGTGGGTGGCACGCATTCGCGGGCTACTCATACAAGCCAAAGGTAGCCAGCCGTTCCGCATCGCGGGCAGCTGCATGCACCGCTCGAAGGCATTCTCATGAGCCACAAGAGCAAAAGACGCAGCGTATCCATGGTCGACCTTTGATACGATGCGCTTAGCCTTGCTCGTGCGGCGACGACGGAACCGTCGACGCCTTTGCTCCCACGGTGGTGCCAAATGCCTACCTTTGGTCTGTAGGGTTTCCAATGTATCCCTCTCCCGGGTCTACTCCTCTAGCCTGGCCAGGTGCGTTCCGCGTCGCCTCGAGCGTCTTTGGTCATGTATGGGATCTGGGGTCGAGTTTGGTCTCGACTCATTGTAAGTATTTGTCGTGAAGAACGCATGGTTACTGTTATTGTGCGATGTAGTCACTTTACTGGTTTTGAAAACACGCTGTTGGTTGTATGACGGATGCACGAGGATTTGCCCGCCTTGCTGTGCCTGAAAGCATGTTCTTGGAGAACTTGCGAATAGCTTGAGTTGGAGAGGTGGGGCAGCTATGTGGTTTCTAATGTAATTCCCGTTTTCTTTTTTTCGTCTCGAAACGACCCGTGTGTGCCTGTCTCTGCCTCTTAGTTGGCTTGCGTGTGACCGGCTGGGATATGTGCTCCTCCTATCCCAACGTCACACCTCTGCCATCGTTGGTACAGTTTTGGAAGTGATCCACGTGGAACAAGGTACATTCGTGCGATGTACAGAGCGATCTGGGCACCCGACGTCTTGAACGGGAATTGACTCCTTGTCTTGGCGAGGTTGATTAGGACGGGCCTGGGCTTGACGGCTTTTCCCTTTTTGTTGCGTGCGTTCAGCGGGTGCCACACCAAAATGTAGAAAAAATAAAAAATTCTCAAGGAATTCCCTTCAAGAACGCTCTTTAGTCTGACATCCAAAATTGACGGGATGACAACACACGCCGAAAACGAGATTCTACGGAATCTCACCTGGAGCATCAAAGTAGGCTGGACAAACTACGCGTAGAGGTGTGAAAGAAAACCTCATGGTCAAGGTGGCGGATTCAAATCCTGCTCAAACATGTAGGAAGCGAGTTTTCGAGGAAATACAATACTGGTTGCACCAGGTCCAGTCGGGCGTGGGTTGGGTACATTCAGTTGGCTATAACTGAGGCTAATCAATCCGGTAGCCACAAACTACACATCGAACGGCGCCTTGGAACCGTTTCATGGAGAAATTATTATGTTTCGTGGGACAAATACCTGCTACATGTTGATGCGGTGGCATCTCTGGACCCTATCGCCACTCGCAGTCGTGCACAACTGCATGGTACTCTGTTTATTCACGTTTTAACAGTATTGGCCGAGTCTAGCTGTTGAAACAGACCCTAACGCTTGTGAAAGAGGGAATAGTTCTCGGTGAACGTTGGGGAGACTACGCGATTAAAACTTGCGAGGATGATCTCCACACGTTGGAACCCCGGAATTTCCGAACCCTTGGACGATGTGTGTTCACATCTGTTCTATCTACTGTTGCGGTGGTATGCCGTCAACCCCCTCCCGTTCAGTATTTGCTCGCTTTCACGAGAAGGATTTCCACCGAACGGCGTTGGCAGTCGTGGTTAACATCTACCAGAGGGATGACGAAATTCGTTTTTTACGAGCATGTTCTTCGTGAACCATGAAAAAGGGGACTAACGCAATGAATGCTATGCCGCGGAGGCATTTTCGGCTGTCTCGCGGCCGCCACCCGCCACTCCCTCCGTTACGGTATTGAGGTGTTGGGCAGACCCGGTTTGTGCGGCCTTGTGCATGGCTTCGTGGAAGGACTTTGGTCCCTGAAACGATGCAAACAAAAACGGAAAGGAACCAAGAACAAGAGGGTTAGGGGCAGGTATTGCGCGACGACGTGAGAACAACTCCCATGCCCCGGAACAAGGCGCCTCGGGCAAAAAGGAACTAGGCCTCTGGCCCTGGATGAAAGTGGAACGCGGGAGCTACTGTCATTGGCGGCGGGGTGATCACCGGCAGCAAACCGCCGAACCTTGAGGCCCCTCTTGGATAACACGTTACAGGACATGTTGAGTATTGATTTCCTTGAAGGGTTCTTTCCTGTTCCCCTGTCGATGATGATCAAAAGAGAGCGCTTTCGAAACCGAGGGAAACCTTCTAGAATGCCAGGAATCCGGTGTCTACATACATGCTGGTCTGTAGTCGCGACGGATACCACAGTACTTCTTGGTAGGCGGCGTGACCTACAGGCCCAACCGGCACCGCACCTTGGACCTCTTTGGTGACAGCACGGATTTGATGAAGTCCTGCTCAGGCGTCGTCGCATACGGGTTTTCCCTCACGATCGGGATGAACTCCTCCGGGCGCTCCCACTGGGGATCCCCTGTGAAGGTATTGACGTAGTAGACAGCCCCGGTGGTGGGGTCGATCTCGTCCAGCCACATGGGCGGCTCCCATTGGCTCATCCCCGACGTCGCATTGAAGTAGTATACTGTCCAAGAACGAGAGGGGAAGGTACTGGGAAGTCAAGACAGTGAAAGGAACAAGTCTGGGAACGACGTCGCGGGTGACGACGACGACGACGACGGCGACAAAACAACAAGGAGAAGAACAAGAAGAAGAAACGACGAAGAACAAGAACAACAACAAGAACAAGAACAACAACAACAACAACAACAACAACAACAACAACAACAACAACAACAATAGCAACAACAACCACAGCTAAAGCGTGTTGTGCTCGGTCATCCCATCAACCATGCAAAGGAAGAACGGAGTGCCGGAGACTCCAAACAAATCTAACCGAACCTGATCCATCTTCGTCCTTGAGCTCGTGCCAGCATTCTCCCTCATCCGCGGCCTCCCCGAAAACCCCTCCTCCCCCTTCCCCTCCCCCGCCACCGCTGTCATCGAGCCCCCCTCGAGATGCGCGGCCGCCGGTTACGGAAGAACGCCTCCGACCAGCGGCAGATTTTTTCCTGCGAGAAGAGGTTTGTGGAGAGTGGTGAGGTGGGGATGTCGGGGGGGGGAGTTGGTTGTTGTTGCTTGCCCCGGGGTTGGGCGTGTACCTTAGAAGCAGATATCAAACAATTGGACTAGTCAGCGGTGACTACAGTAGTGAAATTGTTTGATGTCGGCTTCTGTAGTATACAGTAGTGCCCGGGGGTATTACATTGGTTTTTCCCGGTGTTTGTGGTTTGTTTAGCTTGACGTTGTCGATCTGAACCTGGCAGTTCGAAGTTAGGTGCGTGGTTTCGCTCACCTGTTACTCTTAGCCGACGACGGGCGTCTGGTGGCGTCCGGGTCGGTCTCTTCGGCCCCGACGGTGACGATGTACTGGTGCTTCTTGTCTCTTGTCACGCACCACCCGGTCCCTTGGTTTGAATCGAGAACAGAAAGAAACGTTGTCCGAAGGAAGACGGCTTGTCTTGTGTGTGGAAAACAATCGTGCGTAGGTGATGGAGAGCGGCCAACGCCACGACAGCGTTAGTGCACTGTGTTTTGTCTTGGTCCATTGTGTTGACAAATGCTTCTCATTTCTCGTAGAAGGTGTCCCGTTTGAGGGTATGTATAGTTGTGTGCACCTACGGCTTCATCTCCTCTTCACAGGGGGTTCCATCTATCGCCCCCAAAGCATCTTCTTACCCTTTTCTTTTCGCTCCTCCGAGGCGTCGTCCGGCTTCTCCGCCTCTCCCTCCTCGTTTCTCTTCTCGCCTTCACTACCGCCACCATTCCCCTCCGCCGGAGTAGATTCGGATGCCGCTGTGTCTTTGCTTTGTGATGACGAGGGGGAGGAAGAGGATGATGGTGGGTCCTGGCGGGCTTTTTCCTTTGCTCTTTTGTGCCATCGCACCTTATACCAGTCGCCAACCTCGGCCAGAACTTCCACCTGGAGGGGTTTAGAATTGTCGTTGTTGTAGTTGTAGTTGTAGTTGTAGTTGTAGTTGTTGTTGCTGTTGTTGTTGTTGTTGTCGTTGTTGTTGTCGTTGTCGTTGTCGTTGTCGTTGTTGATGTTGTTGTTGCTGTTGTTGTTGTTAGTTATTGCGTTGTTGCTGCTCATGTAGTGTTGGTGTTGTTTTTGGTGTTTTGTCGCTACTTGGTCGTTTCTTTTCTCGATAGACAACTATTGCTGTGGTCTGACGGCGGTTCACGATGGCTAATGTGCGTGTCCATCCAAACCCCGAGACGAGTATATCCAACTGCTGTTGCCCACACCGGTCTTCATCAGGCCCCGTGGCCTCGAACCAATTAATTATTTAGGGGGTCGTCTCTAGTTGGAATCCTACTTTACCACCCGCCGGTAAACGCGAAAATATCTTCGTCATACCGTTTGTGTTATCCTGCGCGTCGCTTAAAACCCCTCCAAAGTCCGTACCCGTTCAAAGCAATACTATCCCACACAAAGCGTTTGTTCGACCTAGCGCTCATCCGAGAATGTGGTCGAGTGGCTCGTCCCCTCGAAAACGCGTGCACGTGACTCGGCACAATAACCCCCTACCCTCAACCGCGCGCCTTCCCACACTCGAGTACCAAGGAAAATAGCGTGACACAGAGGGGAGGAATCCCCTCCCGTGGGCCTCAAGCCTCACAAACGGAAAATCGACTCACCTCCTTGGTTGCGATGAGATACCCGACCACCTTCGCCTCTCTGATTGGCTCCGCCCTAACGTTGTGGAGCTTGGTGATTCGCCCGTTGAGGTAACGCTTGGGTGTTGCATCGTCATCGTTATCTCCATCACCACCTCCCACGTTCGTGGTGGCGCCCGCCTGACTGCTCCTCCGCCTGAAACAGCAGTCAAGAGACAACATCAAAACGCGTAAGGTAGACCATACTGGTTTTGCCTTCGTTCAAATACGAGAGTGAAACGCATTCAATCTCCCTCGATTTATTTGTCTGAGGAAAGTTGCATTATCCCACCTGCACGAACGAAGTTTTCGGTTTCGGACTTCCTTTTCGAAGACTGGTACCCACGCACCCCTTCAAACGACACGCCAAAAGTGTCGTCGAACGGACGTTTTTCGAAGCTACTGTAATCGTGACAACATTTGCTCCAAGTCCATGCGGATGGTGGTTGATAGCACACAGGGATACCTCCAGAATGAGCAGACTGTTTTACGTCGTTAGTGGCGCTTAATCGGATCCACATCGTCACGCCCACACCATCCATCTACTGGAACAAAATTCTGTAGATATACTCGGTCTTTGCTTTCCTACCTTTGCGCAGCAGCACCCCCGGTGGAAGACCTTCTCCTGCGGTACCTGTCGGCGTCGCCAGGATCGGATTTTGTGTCCAGGCCACCGGTGCCCTGGCCGCCGGCCGAAACAATAGAGAGAGAAACGTCGATCACAGCAGAGGGGAAAATCAAAAGTCAAGTGTGGGATTGTATGGAGTCGCACTATTTTGGGTGGTGCCGCCTGATGGCGGCTTCATGGAAAGCGTTGGAAAGCCTTGCCTCTTTTCTCGTCTCTGTCTTCCTTGTCGCGAAGTTAACTCGCAGTCTGTGCGGTCGTCCGCTTCGTTTAGCGGGAACACAACGCAAAGAATACCGTCGAAGTCATCGGTGGCCGACCGCTAAGTGTTCCGAGACTGCACGAGAGGCGGCAGTTGTGCTATTAATTCGTGCCGCTGCGCAAGGTATGCAACTATTTTCAGGTATATCAGCGTTACTACGCTGACGGAAAGACATGTAATGCAGGTAGCAGATAGAAGGCAGGACGACAGTGCGTCATGCCCGCAACTGGTTTTGCGTCCCTAGGCTTCAAGAGTGCTGAACTCATGCAACCTAGATATGAAACAGTTGCATCTTCCACTCGGTGGCACATCGGTGGTACATCGGTTTCTGTCTCTCCCCTCACCGAAGCATAGGACCATTCATCGTCCGAGCCATACGTAGTTGCACCGCCCCCGACATTGTCGAGATCCCCCTCCGTGAACTCCCAAACGTCCGCAGGGTCTTTGGTGCCTTCTTCTCCGGCGGCGGCGTTGCCGGCGGCGCCAGAAGAAGGGTTTGCGTCAGAAGCGCTGCCGTCCGAGGTTTTTCAGCCAAGCGAGACATCCGGGACAAAGCACAGAGAAATGGGAATGGGGCACTGATATTATACGTTTTTGATGCTATTGTCGTGTTTCGTTGCTGTTGTTGTCGTTGCCTTCGCCTCAACAGAAGGTTCCGCCTTCTGTCCTATACACCTTTTCATGGTCACAAGTTCACCAAAAAAGAGAAAAGGGAATGTGGTTAGATTCCGCGGTGATGTTCTTTGGAGAGACATTTTGTGGTGCCCCGAGAGACGGGTTTCGATGTGAAGGTGGCACCGAACCCACAACTACCACCACCAACACCAGCGTCACCAACAGCAATGACAACAACAACGTGGAAATATTCGAGATATGAATGATATCAACATTTACCTCGGATAAACCAAGCCACAAATAGCAACCCCCACAACCACCCATCGCCAATAAACAAGAGAATGCAGACCATACTCAAGCAACCTCTCCACAAAACTAACCTGACACGAATTCCGTCACCGGCTGGCTCGGGTTGGGTGGGTACGCTGTACACGCGGATCGACGGAACCTTTTCGGAAACCCGGACACCTGCGGCACAACCCGAACGGTGGGGGGAGATGACGTCATCAGTACACTTGACCAATGTGTCAAGCGCAAAGGTCTGAAATCGAATCGTAGAAAAATGAGTCAGCCATGAAGTAGCGCTGTGGTTTGGGTTGTCGTGATTTGTTACTGACTTGTTGATGATGATGACATCACCTTGCAACCGGAGATGAAAGGACACCGAGAACGTACAGACGTTTCCTTCACCACCCGTCACTATATTGCGTGACATTATCGATCGAACACGTGCTTGTTGTGATACCGGGGTTTTCGTGGTGTTTGTGGTGCTTTTCACACTCGCTGTTGCTTAAGATGTTGCTGCGGGTACAGCATTGTAGGAAACAATGTGTTTGAACAGGCCTTCCTAGCCCCGTTTGAGTTCGTGACAAAGTATTATGTAGGAGGCGTTGTGCGAGGACCTCTACCAGTTGTACATCTTGGACGACGAACGACCGCGAAAAATATTGCCAGCCGGCGGTCGTTGTATGAGGGGGTGAAACAGGACGTCCAAGCCAGGCACCACGACCGTGGTGTGAAGCTACCTGAGTCGTCCGTCGCTGCTGCGCCGTTGTTGGTAGTGTTGCTCCCGCCCTTTCCCGCGGTGGGAGACTAGCAGCATTTCAAGTGGCCATGGGAGGACAACGAACGGCGGCCAGACGAGGGACAAAGGGAAATATTGCGTAGGTGCCCCGAGACATGTACCACGTGGCACTAACATGAAGTTTACGGTAATCTCTTGCATCGTCTACTCAAGCACCACACGCCTACCTGCTTGCCGGTATTGCCTTCCGTTGGCGTGGTAGAAGGTGATCGGGGGCGAGACCCGATGCTCGCCCTCCTTCCCGAGCCAAGGGGATTGCCGCCGCCCCCGACACTGCCCTCTCGTCTTCCGGGCGTTTCGTTCTCCGTTCTGATGCGATCGAGGTTAACCGGTTGGTAGGACCTGACATTTGCGGTTGTCAGCGCGCGGGCAGCAGCGGTGGGAAACACATTGGACGGATCAGGACGGACATGAACGTTATTTTCTTTGTCGAAGTACGAGCAGTGGTGAATAGAGAGTGAATGAGTATAGCTGAAGTCAACCGTGCTTTGGTCGTCATGAAATTGCTGGACACGACTTGAGTATCACCTTTCTGAAAAAATGTGCGGAAAAGAGGAAGACAAGAGGGTGGGGATACATCCAGGCTGGAACGTTGTCTGCCAGCATGATTCGCTTCTTGCAGCGAACGGCCTCTACTTCTAATGTGTCTTGGTGTGTTTCGAAATTTGGGGTAGTTTCTGAGATACACCGATATTTTTTATATTACCTAGTCGTGTAGCACACCCAGCACGAGTTTGACGTGGGCTCGTTCGGACGCTTGCACACCACGCACACCCAGGCCCCTTCCGAGGGGGTCCCCTGCGCGTGCATCGTGCGTCGCCGCTGGGCCTGCCAGTCGTGAGAAGTCCAAAAGCAACCAACACGAGAAGGGAGCAAGAGAGAGGATTTGGTGACCCAAAAAAGGATTTTTGCACAGGTCCGTCGACGATGTGTATCTTTCACGTGACAGAGGGCTTCACCGCACTAGGCGCGTTCCATCATACGTCTCTTCCCTCCATCCTGTGGTGCTTGCCTTAGGTTTTCCACGCGAGAAGACACAAGAGAGTGTTGATCCTAGCCCTTGGTCGAAACCTGACATACCTTCTCTTTCCCGCCCCCTTCGGCACTGCTCGTAGCCGCTTCCTTCCCTTCCTGGGCTGCCGCTCTGCTCATCCTCCTCCAGTACCAGCTGTTCGTTTTCTCCATTCCAGGTGGTGCCGCTCCACCGCCGCCGCTACCTCCCCCGTCTTCCGTGCCAGCGATGGAGCTACTGCGGAACTGCACGGATGGCTTCGCGTGCCCAGCTTGAGTCTGGGATCTGCGATGCCGTGCTTCCTCAACCTGTGTTACCGGAGAAAATTGACGGGGAGGGGGGGGAAGCCAGCTGTGGCATGAGCCGATAGCTTATTCTGATGGCCAGGTTTCTCGAGAGCATGAACCTCCATGCTCCTTTTGTATACCAACAACCATTACCGAGTGCTCTTCGATTTCACAGGTGCTTTGGTCATAGATCAATAGGCGGACGTTGACCAAGCAGTAGAACACAGAATTGTCGGTATCATCCACTTTTCCTCGCGTGCGCCTTCTGGTCATACAGAACGTCGCACGCGTTCTCCACCTTCTTGTACCGCCTGACCGGTGCAATGTGAGACCCAGCACCGTAGCAGTAGGAAAGACAAACACGGACTAAACGACATCCCCAAGAGCTTCGTTCTCGCCTGGGCCTTCGCCTTCTCCGCGGCAGACCCACCGATGCCATCGCTCTGGAATCCCGACACCTGTACGCAAGACACCACAACACGCATCGGACAAAGAACGCAGGTGGTAAGAAGATTTGCATTGCCATACACCCGACCGTCTTCTCGGGCCACTGAACGTAGCGTTTGCGTTTCTATACTGTGGACCAGCACTGTGAACGTGCGACCCCTCCTCGAATTCCAGATGGTGGTTTTACATGGAAAAAAACGACGTCGACACGTCTAGTCTAGCATGGGCAATATGGTAAGCGGCGGTGTCGTGATCCCCGTTCGTCTGGAAGACGCTCGCGTAGTTTCTCTCGCCTTCTGTCGAGGGGGCGACGTCGATGCGCTCTCCCCTCCCGCCCCGCCGCTCCCGGCGTCTGCACCGCCACCGCCCGTCGACGGAAGCGTGACGACCATCACGGGGTCGCAATATCCGCTCCACCCCCAGGCGCTGGCCGCCCTGACCCGGAACTCGTAGCACGTGCAAGGAGCCAGGTTTTTCTTGCGGCAAGACTTGCCGACTACCAGGGTGGGGGAGGTGACCTACGAGTGGCGTCGGGAGGCAAGCCGGGGTGTCAGCGTATCAATACCACGGTTTGCGGGGGATCAGCTTGGCTGCGGCTTGGATGGGCATGTTGTGGATGTGAACCTTGCGTCTTGATCAATCGAAGTTGAGCTCATACACGATATCTTTGTGTGCGATTCTTCATCGTGCGTTTCGTGGTCCAGTTCTGATGCCTCAGCCCCGTGCCTTCTCATTTGCGCCTTCGTCAAATTTCATTTTGACACCGAAACCACGCTCTATTAGACGTCGAGACACGCACCCACTCCGAAGCCGTACGGCCACGCTGCCGCCACTGCAGCTCGAACGCCGTCGTCGAAGGTAGCCCCGCGCAGTGCCACTCAAGTGTAACGGTAGACTCTGTCCGGTTGGTGCTCCGCATCTTCGGTCGTGATGGGGGCTGTGTTACGTGGCGTCGTAAATCACGCCAGAGCGCATAGAGGGCGGGGAATGGGGCGGTATCATTCATGCATCAGGCATGGGGTTGTACCATGCTTCCTGAAGTTAAAAGAAAATGCAGACACGCCGTTGTGAAGAGGCCGAAGAAATTATGTTTGAGGTGCTGGAGAGTTTCTGTCCTCCTGCACGCCACTTATCAACGGGAGTTGACTCCAATGAATCAAGCGGCACCCGGAGACACGTGTGAGATGTGTGCACCAGATTTTAGCCCTCCTATGTTACGGAAGTTTTTCTTGCTTGTCCAGCCGGACGACAGAAATCGACGTGCGGTGTTGAAACCAAAGGAGAACCCCAGGGAAAGCCGTCCGATCCATGGCGTTTCTCTGGTTTCAGGTTTAAGTTTAACCTTAGGCAGGTTTTGGAATCGCCGTACCTGGTGCTTCGAAGTCCCAGCGGCCGCTGCTGATGTCCGCTTGCTACTGGCCTTGGATTTGTCTTGCTTTTGGGCTTCTCGCCGGAACTCCTCGTAGAAACGCTTGTTAAATTGCCTCACCTTGGTGATGCAGGGGACAGTGAAGATTGTCAATACCGCCATCACCACGAAACGAGAAAACTCGGTCACACAAGGACCAGAATCATGGCGATGGTACACAATAGCATATGTATGCGGAGGGTTCTCGAGACATTTCTACCCGATTGGCAGTTTGCCGAACCAAATTAGGTTCTACCGAGAAATACCCCGCAACACCCAAAACAAACATGATTCACTAACCTTCTCGTCTCCGCTGGCCGCGGCTGGTTCTCCGCGGGCGGAAGTCCCGCTCGCTGCGCTTGACTACGGCATCCCCGATGGAAAACACATAGGTCCGAGACAGGGATGGATCGAGAGCGTTTTTAGACCTGACTCATTGTCTGAGGCATTTTTTTTTCTAAGCGGCAGATGAGACGGCTTGAGGCAGTCTCGGGATGGCGAACTCCATAGGTGTTAGTTCATCTTCATCGTTTCTACGAGCAATGATGAACAGCGGTGAGTTGTATGTGTTCTTGCAGGCAACCACCCCAGGCTCCATTCGAAGAGAGGATGGAAGCAGAACAATGCACCACACGGCCTCGGAGATTTGGCGGAAGAGTCAAGGAAAGCATCGCATCACTTGTCCGGACCTTCTTGCTGCTGCCGCCCCCCGCTCCCGCCGTCGAGCCGGCGGCCGCTCTACCGCCGGCAGCATAAGGTGAAGACCCCCTTGTCGCGCTTTCACCCCCCGATGGTGAAGCCCCTGCTGCCGTTGGTTGCCGTGCTCCTCCTGGAGACGCCGCCCCCGCGTTGTTGGCGGGCGTCCCTGCTGCGGACCCCTTCGGATGCTTCCGCAACCTACTCGTTGGCATGGGCAGCAAGTATGGGTTCGGCGGTCGAATGGCACGAGGGTCTCAAGCTTTGAAGAATTATCGCCCTATGGACACTTGGTATTTTTTTCTTCCCTTACCGACGAAACAAGTTTGGTTTGTCTTACCTACCCCCACACCTTCCTCTGTATTAATGTATCTCTCTTGCTCTGTTTCTCTGTCTCTCTCAGGATGCAATGTCTTGTAAAAGCCCTACAATGCTACAGCGAACATCACGCCAGTTCCTCGCAAATTTGCAGCGACAAAACTGCCGTGGAGAGAAACCATTGCCGGTGACCACGTGTTTCGGAGCTCGGCAGAGTGCATGGCATCAACAGTTAAGCATGGAACGAGTTTCCACAGACTACAGGGATCTAGGCAGCTTTATCGCTTTGTTACGGGGGATTTTTCACGTACATGTCGGTTCGGCTAAAGTCTTGGCAGCGCCGTTGTGGGAAGTGCAGGAGGATGCTGTAGGATTGTCTATATGCTTACCTGTTCAGGGCCTCCTGCTGCCGTTTCCGCTTCACATCGTACTCCGCGCGCTTGTTTGGCTCGATTAAGATATCCTGTACGATTGAAAATCAGTCAAGGCGGAGAAAATTCCTCTCCAACATGCTTTGTGAGGTGTATTGTATTGCGCGAGAGAGTGCAACGGAACGGCGGTTCAGCTGTGGGGTTGGTGTTACAGTGGCCAGCCCCTGTCGATCGTTCAAACAGGGGCTCCTCTAAAGAGCAGCAGCATCATCAGTGAGCAGTGTACATTCGTCTGTTGATTTGTGTAGACGATAAGGAAATGCATCGACGGCAAGTCGCAAGACAAATCCAGCAATCCTAGCTGAAGCACCTATATTACTCAGTGGATGGGCTTTTTAGACCACATCAAGTGCTGAAAATCGTTGCTAGGGAGGCTCGAGGTTTCTACCTGGCCTTGTTCGTAATAATTTTCGCGCGGGATTCTTTTAAGTCCGGATTGCGGCCCCAAGCTGCTGTACGTAGGAAGATGTGGCGATGATTGAAAGAAACGCAAGGAGGAACGACAGCAACGAAACTTACGTGAGCTCCTTGCACAGCCTGGAAAAGGGTCGACGTAGCCTTGTTCTTGTCAGGATGATATCTGAGCGCCAGCTTCCTATACGCCTTTTTGATTGTCCCCTCATCCGCGGCGGGGTCTACGCCGAGAGTCAAGTATGGATCCTCCGTTAGCCGGCGCATCGCTGCTCCCAGCACCTATGTGGACCCGACGGCGAAACGATTGAGGGAATTGAAGCTAAACGAGGTTAGGCCACAATACAGGTAGTCGCGTATTGGTCTTGCTGATATTTTCGTCAATACATTCGTCGAGAAATAAACCAAGTTCATCCACTATCCGTACATTTTCCCAGGTTTAGCATATGTCACGATGAATCACAGTGCTGTATGACCTACTGCTGATCCTCGCGTTATTCTTATTGCGTATCGTCGTGTGAACCAATGTTATTCTTGGCACCCTTTCTCACCAGGAACTATTGAAGTTTACATGTATTGCAGTTTGCTATAATTCTCAAAGGCAATGGTTCACGAATCCATCAGGTACACTTTCACCGCAAAAGAGTGCCCTCTGCTGCCCACCGTATGATATATGCAACGTCAGTAGACATCGCGGTTGACAACCCTGCTCCCTGCCGTGCGAGAAAGTCACTAAGCAGAATATCACGATCGATCGATACGTGTGAGTGTCCCCTATGACGCGCGCTAATTTACGCGCATAAACACATGGGGAACGGAATTTGCTATGGGCGGTCCAGAGCACGATCAATATGTTTTGGTAACAACAGCAGTCCGCATGCACGGAGGAATACAACAAGCACGTGTTTTCTTCCCATGGTGTATGCATAGTCTACCCAATTTCTAGCGATGTGTATCTACTGCTGTAGACTGCAAGCAGATTGTGCTGTCTACCAGGCATCAGCCGGGTCATTTGTAGTTAGGAAAGGATACCGACACGTGGGGGTGCACGGTGTTACTGATGTGTGATTCGGAACACATGATGTACAGGCGTTGCTTATGGAGAAGAGACGCACCGCTCAATGCGGCTACAAACCTAAGAATGCTTGCAAGTCTCGTGAGCATCCGGCACAGATTAGTGACTCGAAGAAGAATTCACTCTACTGCATCTACTATACAGCAGTAGCCTCTGCTGTGGCATCGTACCGTACCATGAATGTCTGCACTTGTTGTTTGTTCGCAGCGTACCTGGGAACCGTTAACACCGCCAGAGTCCTGGTTGCATTCGTACTCCGATATAGCGGTCAGCAGCATGGCGACCCCTTCTCGAACACCATCCTCCCCTGACTGAATGCTGGCCTGCGCTGCGTCGAGCTTTGAGGCAGCCAGGAGTTGCTGTTGCAACATGTTCGCACAACAGATCGCGGTATGCAACACAAGACGCGTAGGAAAGCCAACTTGGTCACAGCGTATGCACAACCGCAAACCTGCAAATAGTTTATTGCTCAAAATTCGCAACAGATTTCTCTCGCGCACGAACCTCTCGCGAAGAGTTGATTAACCTTTGGAGCGGATGTTACTGTTCGACAAACAAAACGCAACAAAACATATGGACGACCGTTTCGCCCACGAAACGCCTCAGGAACCAAACTCCATGCGGCCCAATACCTCTTCCTTCCGTCCGGCATCCGGCGCAAGGAATGCGCACAACAAGAGAGGCTGCTGCCTCCTCTCTCTAGTTCAGCTGAGTGTGCATAAACCTGTGGGAGACATCGGCTCTGAACCCGACGACTTTCAGGGCGGTCATCGCTCCGAGAGAAGCGGATAAGCGACCTCGGACAAAAGGCGGCGGAACAACCGGGCTATCCGGCCGTTCAAGATGGGCACGCAGACCCCCAAGCGGCGGCCGGTCGGTGTCTCGGCGTTCCTTACGCCGTCCCTTGTTCTTGCCGCGACCGTAGCCACGGCGCTTAGGCAGCTGGGGGTGCCGGTTGGAGGGCTGTCGTTCGCGGTTTGGCTGTACCTCGTGCTTGACCTCCTGGCGTTTAGGTAAGAAGAGAGGACAGGGAGACTGACTCTACGTGTGCACACCGACAGCCAATGTGTCATTATTTTGACCAATCCTACGACCATTCTTGTGTCGTAATCAGCTAGCGATAGGCATGCGGTGGCTATTGATGATACGTGACAGAAGCACCACGACTCTAGGAAAGCGAGATAGTAGACATGTTGTTGTGGCGTAAGCGTATGATGACGTGACAGAAGCACTATTTACTGCTGTACACCCGACACCCCTCGGAATATCTTTACAGCAGACAACCAAGCTGCATTTCCCCGCATGCGATACAACTGTGTCTGCCTTATCAATAGTGGCGTGTGCAACCAATCTACTTCAATGTGATGTGCTGTTCGAAGCTGAGACGTGGCCGCACGATACTTCGCATACACTTGAGCCCACACGTCCCCAAATCTTGACATGGAATGTCGCGGACCCCTCAACCAGCAGTTGCAACGACGTCTTCTGTTTGTGGCGATTGATGGGAGGTCATGGGGAGGCCCGAGCTGACTTGACCAAAACTGTCCCCTGACACTTTGCAACCAGGGGCAGTTGTACTTGATTTGACAGCCCATATTCCTCGTGCGAAACGGCGGTTTACGCATAGGTCCCAGTGAGCCAAGTTTTAAGTTTTTGTGCTTGCCACCACACGCACAATTCGCAATCCAACAAGCGAGAACGACCGACAACCTACTCTCGAACTGTAGTCACTTCATATGTACGGGATTCAAGGAGTACATGGGAGTCCGATGCTCTGCCTTTGTCAATCATCTGCCCGGGAGAGGCTTGTGTTCCAAAGTGTTGTTTTACCTTGTATCCCCTGACCTTCAAATCGGACGGGGTTACAACACTTGGTTGGGTGAGATCCCCGCTGTGAAGGCTAGCTATTGTAGTATTTGGTGCACCACGCACGCATCCAGAGGCCGACTTTGAGGGTTAGTCAGCTGCAGGGTAGGAACACTTTGCAATCAATACCGAGCATCAGTGGTGATACCAGTTTGTTTTTTGAGCTGACTGTCGGGACTGGACCATGCTGCCCCCCCTGTCCGGCGCTGACTAGAAAAAAAAAATCGTTGTCGTACCGCTACTATTGGCTGGCATCGGTCGCCGTTGAGGCAAGAGCAGCGCAGTCCATGATGCCACACAAACAGCAAGCTTGGAGGAGCCTCGTTTCCGAACATATTGCCAAAACTTTAATGAATTTCCACACGACGGTGGATGCACAGGTTTAGACGCGCCCAGCCCGGGCTGGAACGGCCCCAGCAATCCTCCTCGAACACCACGGTGGCGGCAACTCAGGCCTCCGCGAGCGCTGACGGGGGTACCAAGAAAACGCAGTCTCAGGAAGCGAGCGGCGGTGCTTCGGCGGCTGAGCGTAGCGGGCGGCAAGCGGTGTCGGGGCCTCCGGCGAAGCCGGCGACCACAACAACGTCTGCCGTAGCTGCGCAGACTGCGGGGCTCAGGTGATGCCCCCGTGCTCGTGCCGAAGAGGTTCACCTTGATATGTTTTCCCAAGAGGTTCACCTTTTGTCATCCTTCCGAAGTGGTCCACGTTGAAAGTAATTGGCGACAGTTTCTAGCATTTCCGATTTTCTTCGAAGCCGCTTCCTGGCAAAGGTGGTCCACCACAAACTCGGCAAGCTCTCTTCTGAATGAACCGGGTCAGGCCTCTCTGGGAAGTATTCTACATGATTCTTCAATTTCAACCGGTTTTCAGTGTTAAGTCGTAAATAGTCATGAAGGGTAGGCACTAGATGAGACAAGGTCTCAATGGAACCGTCCAGAACCTGGTGTGGGTTTCCGATGATTTTTTTCCGTATCACCGGCAATATTCGTCGAGTAGGCACGTAGGCATCTCTATCGGAGGACCGGTGAGAAGTAGTACAATAGCAATATTCGCGAAAATATGTATATGGTGCGAGTGGCATGCGTATGGTGCAGTCGTTACCCTTCCTCAATGAGGTATTTGAGCGCGGTGCTTCTCTTGCACTCCTTTTCAATTATTTGGTTCGAAAAAACAAAGACTTTCCATGCTGGGCGAAGACATCTACGTCAACGCCGAGTCGCCCTTCGAGTTCGAGAACGATTTCTTCAAGGGCAGGATGCTCTTCCTCGTCAAGTGCAACCCCCCGGACCCCAAGTGGGCCGCTCATTTCGAGGGCAGCAACAGCAACAGGGCTTTCGAGATGCAGATACAGGGGAAGCTCAAGCTGCTGCCCAAGGGCGAGGTGGGTACATAGGTCGCGAGTGAACTCGATATTGGTTGTTTCTGGTCCCATCCGACCTTAAGGTTAGAAAAATATCAAACACAAGCAAACATTCCTAGGGAATCCAACGTCCCTTCCCTGTAGAACTGTATTCACGAACAAGTCCTTTTAGCGCAATATAAACCACGAAATGCGAAAAAAAAAATGAAGAAAAACGATTTCGCTGGGATTCGAACTCCTGATTTAGCGGCCAGAAGTTGACGAAACCGTCAGCCTATTCACCTGAGCGAGCCCTACATCATACAACCTGTCTAGCAAAATGGGATGTCGACGCAGCAACAGAAGCGCCGCGTCTGTTGTGTTCGGGCAGGTTTACATGGGAGGCGAGCTGGACGAGCGGCCGAAGCAGGGGCTGGTCACCCAAACCGTCTCCAAGATCGTCATGAGCTTCGCCAAGCAGGTGGGTGTATTATACAGCAGTATCGTTGTCGGAAAGCCATACAGGGGGGGGAGCGTACCCATGTTTTTCATGACTTAGTTGTTAGACCATTGGCCATACAGGGAGCGGGGTATAAGGCCGTTTACTGCTTTCGAACCGTGTATTGTTGGTATTTGGGCTCGAAAGGGTAGGCTGTCCTCACCGGTAAATGTGTCAGTAACGGGGCTGGGAATGTGTCCCCGGTGTATGCCACCGTCTTGGCAAGGCTACCTCCTTCTCCTGGTAGGTGGAATGGCCGGAATGATCCGGATCAAAAAACCATGGTAGCTACCGTCTCGCGACAGGCAACAAAGAACACGGTTGACACGGTTTTGTACCTGGAACCGCTGCCGAGGTGTACTAGTGTGGAGCTCGTAACGCCGAGGCCTTGGCACCCATTATTTACTAAGCTGCATAGCTACCGTCTCGCGACAATGGCAACGAAAACCACGGTTGACACGGTTTTGTACCTGGAACCGCTGCCGAGGTGTACTAGTGTAGAGCTCGTAACGCCGAGGCCTTGGCACCGATTATTACTAACCTTCATGTATGTAATCGAGGGTTCCCTTGGCTCCCATCTGCGGCACAGATGGTGAAGAGCCTTCACTACAGCTTCGGGGAGAGGCGTCCCCCGTCAGACCCCCTCGATGTCGAGAATCCGCACGTGACCTTCCCTCTGTACAGGGTAATGGACTGGTTCGTGGTGACAGCAGAAGGTATGTATTTTCTAGCAGGAAACTGGATGCTTCGGCCGCCCAGCCCCATGTCTTTTCTTCGCGATGAATAGGAGCTACCTGCTTGTGATATGGTTTGGGGACGTTTGCTCGCGGTGGACAGAGAGAGAGAGCCCAGGGAAAACCCTAAGAGTAGCGGACTGAATGTTTGCCTCGCCAGGGAAGCACGAAGCTGTATACGTGGGTCCTCTCCGAAGTATGCCGGTTCCCTATGGCAGTGGAGAGAGGAGTACCATAGCGGCAGGATAGGTGGTCATGGGCGGGGTCGCTAGCAAAATTGTCAGTGTGAGTACTAGACGAGGCATGTGTGATCGAAGAGGTTCGGTTTGGTGCTTGGTGGTACTACTAGTGTTCTGGCGGCAGGACATTTTCTTCTTTTCTTTGTTCCTTTGGAGGCGGAGGTAGCCGGGGCGAAGACGGGCCCCTATTTAAGTATGTCCTTCTTGTGTTCCGTTTCCCCCGAGCGAGTTCCTCCCGCATTGCACTCTTCAGGCTCCCTGCACGATTTCCCCGCTCCGGCTCCGCATGATGTGACACCCCAGTTGTATTTTCATCGTCTAGGTTGACTTGTTTCCTGTTTTCGTTCGGGTTTCTGCTGTTTTCCTGTTTCTGTTCTGTTCTTCTGTTGATGTCATTTTTTCTTTCTCTTGTGTGTGTGTGTGTCTTTTTCTGTCTAGACGAGAAGCCCCCAACCCTAGGCGGTGCCTTGACGGAGTCGGCTGAGGAGAGGGCCGCAAGGAGAGGGGGGAAGAGCCCCGACATCGTCTGGAGCACCGACGTCACCTACACCATGGCCTTCCAGAGGTGCGGGCAAACCCAGTCGGCGAAACAGTAAACGCTTGTACCGTAGGCTCATCAGGATTTGTGCCCGGTGTTTGGTTCATCTCGGCCCCCGTTCGGATCGTGGTGACTAGTGTCTCTGGTTGCATGTATGGACCTGACACCGAGGCATTCCCGGGGGCTGGTTGCTGAGTGCTTCCTTAGCTGCTCGCCCGGGGGGTGGGGTGGGGGGCAGCAGAATTCCTCGGCGATGCTCTCCATCACTTGAAGAGGGCAAAAAGAAGAGCCATAGCGTTTTGGAAGTTGTAGTATATATTTGTTTTAAGATCTCTTCGCTCAAGCCGTGTGGAAAACCGGGCGGCAAGCCTCGTTATCCCTCTGCGCTCGGGGACAAACTCGTTCCACATTCTGGTCGGACTGTGTTGTAGGTATTGTCGTACCTTCCCGTTGCCTTTGTCGGAGTTCTATTTGGCTACGGCCCCGTACCTGTCCATGAGAAAAAGCGGTTTGAGGCGAGGAGGAGGCGTTGTTGCTTTGTTCTTACTTGAATGAAACAAGTTTTTGTCTTCCACAGAATTGAGTCCGGGATACTGTAGTCATTGAATTTCTACTGGCTCTTCCGAACTGAATTGTCGTCCCGGGGAATTTTCGAATTTTCGGGAGATAGAAACGAATTCGATGTGAATGCTGTACCACGAAGTCCTTCGCGTTTCGGTACACTTCTGGTGGATCTAGAGGCCACGGTACGGTTTTTCACGGTACGGTTTTTCGGGGTGCGTGCTTGGCGGGATGAGCTTGCCACGTTCGCGGTTCTACGACTTAACGCAAGACAACAGCAACATCTTCTCTGCAATCGGTTCCTTCGTAACTACTATGATCTCTCTTGGAGGAGAACTTGACACACCGCGGCCCTCCTATCTGCCGTCCCCCGTGTTTTTCTCTGCACCGTCTTGGTGGTGCAGCGGCATCGTAAACTTTCAGGACTGGGCGGTGACGGACGTCCCCGGCCAGGGTAACCTGGACCTCAACACGTTCCTGTGCAAGCAGCCGGTTAGCGTAGTGGTGTACGACTTCACGGCGGCAAACCCGTCCGCAGCGACGCACAAGGCCAGGTGCGTCATGCTGCCGCTGCTGGCTGGTGATGGTGATGGTGGTGGTGATGGTGCACGACTGTTAATTTAGTCGTGACAATGTGTTCGTAACTTTACGTTGCTCTTTATTGACACAGGCTACCTATCATGCACAATTTCACGGCAAAAAACTCGTTCTGCCCATGGGTACGGTCTCGAAGGCTACTTACTCCTTTCCTTTTTTGTTTCTTCCGCCCTCACTTGCCCCCCTTGCCTTTCCACGCCGCCCCCCTGTCTCAGAGACAAGTCGTACATGTTCAGATGCACGATATCAAACGATTCCCCAGGGCAGGTCGCCCGCCCGGCCTTGGCGGCGGTAGCGGCACAAGGGCCCGCAGCATCTCCAGCGGCTGCGGCAGGCGGGGTGGGCACAGAGAAGAAACAGGACGGTGGCAGGGTTAAGGAATCGGAAGATGGTGTGGGGTTATCTGGGTCCTCCGGGGACACGGGGGCGAGCGAGGTCACGATGGCCGGGATATTCGGTAGGTCTCTTCTTGGGGTGGAACGTGTGAGACGTGTCAGGTCGCGGAGTTTGTGTGTGTACTGCTGCAGCATGAGTGTCTTCTGTGTGCGTATGGAGTGCCATGTGTTGACGAAGAGACGCTCGTCTTCAAGTAGGTATGGTCGTGTCCAAAAATGTTGACGTAGGTATGTTCGTGTGCAAAGCTATGCAGATATTTTGTGGTATTGTAGAAGGGATCCCCTCCGGAGTGGGCTCATGAGAGCACAGGGTGATGCGAGATGAAAATGTAAGCACAGCAGGACCGGCTCACAGCTGGCTGCCAGCCGGCTGTGACGTTTCTCAAGCTCGAGTAGCTCACAAAGCAGACATGCTTTGACTCGAAGAACCCAGTGAGCCTCACGAAGCCGAAAAGAAAAAATGCTAAATTGCAATTCTGTTTACAGTCGTTAGATGTACCTACAACGGGGTGATGCAAGGAATGTTGCTTGGGTGTCCTTGCTCCGGGGTCTCGGGTAACGCACAGCCATCTGTCCTCAGTTCACTATCGTCACACGTCCTCCTCAATTGACATTGCCAACCCACAACAGACCGAGAGCCGTTTCGCTTATTCTACGTACTACCGTCACGTACCTCTCGGTACGGCAGAGGGCGGCGAGGTTGTGATTTTGTTGTCGAGGACTGTTGGTTTCTGAGCCCAAGCACAGAGTCAACACAACACACATTGACACACGACTTTTCTTGCCGCTGAGCCGCGGAGAGCCACAAATCACGAAGCCATCTGCCCGCTGGGGTTGAGCGATGGGTCACTCCACAAGGAAGACTTCCTGTATGTGCTTGGCGTCTGCTGCACAGGAATTGTTGCTAGCAGCTCTGTCACGAAGCTCGTTTGTGGTACTGGTCAACTGTTCTCCTCGACGTGTGTGTGATGTTGCATGCCTCTATAATTACACGCACAAAATAAAAAGTGCTTCCTTGGTGCCGACGCGGTTGGCTGTCTCCACAGGTGGGGTTGCTCGTGGTGCTGCACGCATGCAAAGAAAGAGAAAAGCCGATGTGCGGGCGTGACATGCAATTGACAACTTTTCTTGAAGTGCGGTTTTGTGTTGGGCGGTGGCTGAAATGGCGAAAAGACTGATGGACAACAGATGTGAAGAGTTTTCGAACAGCCTTCACAGCGACCAGCATAGCGTTCGACACGTTTCCTTGTACTTACGTGCAAGTATATGCAATTTTTGTGTATATGGGCGCAAGCCGCAGGTGTTCATTCTAATCATTGATGCACCATTGTAGGCATGATATCTAGCTGTTCTCTGTTTGCCGTCATCCCGCTCGTTCTGGAAGTCAACTGTTTAGCTTCTGTTTTCATGTCCGGGCGCACCCCCACTACTCGATTTTGCTGTTTTGTTTTTCGGGCCCAATCCTTTCTCACGATAGTTTATCGAATGTCCTTCCTTCGCCGCCCGTCCCTGAGCAAGCAGACCCTTCGGACGAACACCCTGAGCAAGACAAGGATAAGGAACGAGGGGGGAGGGCGTCATCGACGGCGACGAGCGGGCTCCCGCGCTTCGACAGCACGGGATATCTCTCGGGGGCGATCTCGGCCGGAGGGCTGTCGTCGGTGTCGCAGCTGGCGGCGCACAAGTCTTACTACGTCCCGGCGGTTGCCGCCCCGGACGAAAAGGTCAGAACGGAGGGAGGGAGAGAGAGACACAGAGAAAGAGAGAGAGGGGGGGGGGGGGGGGGGGGGGGGGGGGGGGAAAAAAAAAAAAAAGGCGGAGCCTGGGGGGGGGGGGGAAAAAAAAAAGGGGGCCCAGGGGCCCCCCCAACCAAAAGGGCCAAAAGGGGAGAGAAAGGGGGGAGGGGGGACCCCCGAGCCGGGACCGGGAGACCGAAGGGAGGGGGGGGGGGGGGCCCCCGGGAAAAACCCCCCAGAGGGGGGAAATTCCCCCCCCCCCACCCCCCAGGGGGGGTTTGGGGGGGTTTCCCCGGGAGGAA